TAATGTCAGCAACATTATAAGTATAGAATTTTTGAAACCAAAATTAGGGTAATTTTTTATGCATAATTATGGGGTTAAAGTATGTGTTTAGTCTCATACCTTATTAAATTTGAAGTTTTTAATCATTCACTTTATATTATAACACTTTTAAGTCTTTAAACTTAAAGATTTAAAAATTTAATCACTAAACTAACATAATCTGTTAACTTTTGATTAAAGTGAGAATAAAATATTTATGGGATCAATCTTCAAAGATTAAAAATTTCACAATTTAGTTGTAAAAGTTTAAAAATTAAAAAAAAAAGTAAACTAAAAAGAATTAATAGATGACTCTTTACATACACTAAAACAATATTATATATCTATAATAAATAGAATGATTAGTTCAATTTGGAGAAAAAATTCTAACTAAGATTAAAGAAAATTTTTTAGTTGAGTTAAAATAAAAAATTTTAAAAACTAGAAGAATACAATTAATTTTTATAATCTTAGTTTGATTTTTTTTAAATTAAGCTAATCATTTGATTTGATTATAATATTTAATATTGTTCTTATGTATATAGTAAAGTCATCCATTAGTTATTTTTAATTTACTAATTTTTTAATTTTTAAAGATTTATCTTATAGATATTTTATTCTCACTTTAACATGAGTTAGTGGATTCTATTAGTTTATGAATTAAAATTTTTAAAATTTTAAAATCAGAGTGAATAAGAGATTAAAAACTTTAAATTTATTAAAGGAGGAGCTAAATTGCATACTTTATATAATTATGAAATGTGATCGAAAAAAAACCTTTAAAAAAATTGAAAAATAAAAGGGAAAATGGCGGGAAACCCAATTTCCAGTTTCCAACTTTCTAGATAATAGATGGCGGAAAGAGCTCAGCTAACCCCTAAGTTTCTAAAACACTTAAATTTCAGAAGACAAAGCGGCGATGATGCATCCCAACGAATTCGATGGAAATGCTGCCTTCTCCGGCGGAGGATTCATGCCGTCTCAGGCCACTCAGGCCGCCGATCACTTCTCGTTCTCTTTCTCAAAAGTTACAACAATTCCTTTCATCCTATCCATTCTTTTTAATTTTCATGTATTTGTTAGGATCCTTTTAATCCTCCCGTTATTATTTATGATTTCACTTCAATTTTAATTTCGTAATTTTAGTGATTGTGTTTCTGTTTTCTATTCTGTCAATTTCAAGATCCTATAAACCCCTAATGCCTTAGGGTTTTAGCTTCAGATTCCATGGAAGAATAAGTGTACCGTACACAAAGCAGCCTCTTCAGTTTATTTTACTGGAGAATCTAAGAAATTAGAGCAAATTGATGGTTTCTTTTCTTACGGTTTTAGATTGCTAAAGGAATTAACGCCCTTTTAGATTTTGCCAAACAAAACAGAGGTTTGGAGATTTTGGATTTGTAGTTCTTGAGCCAATTGATATGTTTTAAACAGATGATGTGGTTAGTTTCCTACTGGCTGAAGTGGGTTTCAACTTAGATACTCTTTTTGGTGCAGAATAGTGATGCACGCTGCTTGATTCCAGTGACAGTGAAGCAGTTGAAGGACCTATCTAGAAATGGAGAATCGGGTATTTCCATTGATGGTGTTGATGTGAACACTGTAAGCTTTTGTGGAAACTTTTGCCTTTCTTATTTGTTTCTTGGTTCTTTTTGTTCATTCCCTCTAATTGATTTTCAAATGGTCTTGGGAGTTGTGTTTAGGTTGTGCTTGTGGGGATTGTATGCAAGATAGACAATGCTGTCACAGATTACACTTTTAGAGTTGATGATGGGACAGGATGGATTGATTGCACAAAATGGTGAATTATCTCAACTTAACCACTAAGTTTTAATTTTGGAACCATGTGTTGCTTGGTATCTTAAATCCTGATTCTTTCCACTAATGTAATTTTGCGTTTGTGTAGGGTACATGAACATGTAGAATCAGCTGAAGTGGAGGCAATCTCGTATGTTTTATTATAACCTATATTCTTTAGATTTCATGTTCCTGCTCACTGTAGTAAATGTTTGGGGAAATAAATGGAATCGTGGAAAATTATAATTTGTTAAAGTTGAAATTTACAATATCTGCACTTTGATTCCAAGATTTTCTTGTCTCCATAACTTATAAATACTTGCTGTTTTTTACACCCAGGCTACTTTTAAGTTGCCTCTTGTTTATCCCTCCCTTCAAAAAATGATATAGTTTCTATGGTCTCTGAATATCTTATTCAATTTCAGGGTTGGAAAGTATGTTCGTGTACATGGCCAGTTAAAAAGCATCCAGAGTAGAAAGACCTTAAACACCTTCTCTATCAGGTATGAATATGGTCCCTTTTTTTTTCTTTTTTTCCTCTTGGATTTTTGAATTTTGGCTTAACTTTTAATCTTATCTGTCTTTTTCACATGTCTCTTTCATTCCTCTTATTTCCTCGGGGGCAGGAAGTTTCTTAGAAACTCTGCTATAACTTTTTTTGTAGCATTCGTCCCTTCCCTGTCTGGCTGATTCTGAGATAACAAAACAAAATTGTAGTTGTGCAAATCTCATCTAACCAGTAGTCTTGTGGGTAATACGAATTTTTTGTTGTATTTTCTATGTGTATTTAGAAGATAAAATTACTATGGAAGGAGGATAGGAGTGCTTTCTGTCTTATTTTCTGTTTTCCTTCTCCCTCTCCAGGTGTTGTCTTTGTCAGCTGCTTTCTCCAGTGGTTTTCTTTTTTCTTTTTTTCTTTTTTTTTTTTTTGGTTCCTTTGGCCAAATGCTTCTCCATTAGTTTATATTATAGATTTTACTGCTTTAAATCTAGATGATTGAAAATTTTAATTGCTTTACCATTTGGATTAAATAACCATGGATCATGCAGACTAGCATAGATCTGAATCTGATTAAAGTCATGTATTTTGTTGACTTTGTTTCGACAACAATGGAGTTTGATATGGTAGTTGTTCTATTTATTCTATTTTTGTCCTTGTGCTCCTTGTTAATTTATTTGGTATTTTCACGCATTTAAACTCTAAATTTGGCTTTGTTTTCAGGCCACTGACTGATTTTAATCAGATTACAAGTCACTTCCTTGAGTGTATATATGTTCATCTTTACAACACCAAGCTACGGGTATGAGTCTGACTAAAGCCCTGCTTTTTTCTTGAATTATTATTACTATGCTTTTCTCAAGGGATTGTTTTTCCCCTGCAGGGGACAACTACACAACCTCAAATGACAAACTCTACGATAAGCAATGCTCCCATAAATCAAGTAATGGATATAACAAATTGAATATGATTTCATCATTTCACTGTGTTCTTGATTTAACTTGCTCTCTAATTTCTTTTCTTTCTTTTTTCTTTTTGGGTATGGGGTTGTTGTTTTCCCTCTTCATTCTTAGTTTTCTGGGCAGTATAGTTCTGAGGATGAGCAAATCATTCGTATTAGTCCAATGGTCTCAAGTTATTTGCAGCATCCAGCACGCTGGTGAGTTACTTACTTTAGTACCTTCTACACTTGAAATAGTGTTTTTTCTGACGTCATCTCTTAAAGTGTCTTCTTTAATTTTTTGCCTTATGTTCCTGTCTTAATATGTATTACATTAAAACCATGCATGCTGATGCAATTGTGTGATTATCCTTGGAGGAATTATTTGGGGTTAATTCACAATTTTTGCTAAATGAGAGTACTCGGATCATTTTAATATGGCCAACATTGCATCTTTTCTTTATAGGGGTGTTAGGAGAAAGTGCTAGATTCTGCTTGACCTTGCTCGCTCCCCTTTTTTTTTTTTTTCAATTTTGTTTTTCCCTTCATCTGTTGTTCTTCTTTCGTAAATTAGCAAATTTTAAGACTTATACTGAATGCAATGTTGGCTAGAAATTATCATTGGACACTAAATTATGTACAGAGGCTCCTAACAAGTGGATGTGCTTATGGTCACATGAGGGAAAGATAATATGAGATTATCTGATCTACTACCATGCCTTGTGCTTATTAGGTCAGCATCTCCAGATATGATTGATTCTTCAAGGTTTTCAGTGCACAAATGTATGTTAAAAGATGTTTTCTTTGGTGTTAGAGAAAAGGACGTAGTATTCCTGATTTTGGATCTGTACTGTTTACTTTGTGTTCCTATGTAGTAGAGCATTATCAACTGTTCTTTTTTTTTTTTTACCAAACTCACTAGAACTAGCATTATCAATCTATTCCCAATTTCCCAAAACTCCATAAGTATTTTAGATGTACTGATGCTTTGGAAAAAGTTTTCAAGATGGATGGGTTTATGAAATTAAAGATTTGGCAAAGGACCGCTGCAGTAAATTTTGCTTGTTTCTCATGGCATAGAAGCTTGTTAATACAACTTGATCAAATCTTTAAGCACATCACAAATGACGTGGTTTTAAAAAAGGAAAAAAAGGTAAGAAAATGACTTATTAATCCACCCCTGATCAATTCGCCTCCTTGGACATCTAGTTGCTTGTATTAAGTTGTAGATTAATGACTTGATTGCTCATAAAAAAAAAAAAAAAAGAATTAATGATTTGGTTAAGAAGGTTTTCCCTATTTGCTACACCTAAGAGGAAACAAGGCTTCTTCAAAACCCAATATTACTTGCCATGTTAGTATATGGAAAATCATACCCTGTGTTTTCTCAATATAATGAATTAGCATGGGACAAGAATTGGTGATGCTCATGAGTATGGTTTTCTTTTTTTTATTTTTATTTTTGGCCATACTCATGAGTATAGTTTGATGCAAGCAAAAACTGTCAGAAATGTGAATTTCACATGGTCTTTTCTGTGTGCAACGAAGTGCCTTACCTAAGAAAACATGTTGAAGTTGTTGGGACTCAGGTTTTAAATAGCTTTGAAGTGTTTGTGTTTCTGACAATTTGGTATAGATTTTACAGCCCTTTTAATCACTAATGTCTGTGCTTTTTCCAAGCATTTATTATGTAAAACTTCTACACTCATTTTGTCCTCTGTATACTTCTGTTAATTGTACATCACATTTTCTTCATCAGTGAGGCTAAGGCATATTGAAATGATGAAATCTAAATTTCTTAAACATTTCAGTGCATCTGATACTGGAGCACGCAGTGATATTATTGCTCGAGATCTGAATATTCCACTGGATAAGATCAGGTTGTCTGTCTTGATCATTTACTTGATGGTATATATATGCACTAGAGAATGGAGTTTTTAAGTCTGCACGGTACAAAAAAAGTGCAGTTTGGGTTATGAAAGTACCAAAACACCCTTAATGAATTTTACTCAATAATGGTATTTAAATACTTTTAAAGATATTTCTGTATGCACTAATTGGCTTTCTTGTATAAATTCTCACAATGTAAATTTTGGCTCTTAACAGGAAAGTTTTAGAATATCTTCAAAGTGAGGGCCTTATTTACACAACGATTGATGACCACTTCAAGCTTACTACTGCCTGACATCTCTTACGTGCAAGGTAATGCTGTTTAGGAGAACCAAAGCTCTAGATAGGTCATGGTTTAACTTCTCTTGGTTGTCTATATTAGGAGGCTACAATATATGCTATCAATTTGTTTCACAAATCCTTTTCTGAACTTCAAACTTCAGAGTTGAAACTTTTAACATTGAAATTCAAGTTCTTAATTGTTGGAGATCACCTAAGGGACAAGATCCTCTTCTACATTACAAATCACTAATCATTGTAAAAATATTGTGAAGTTGAAACCTTCAACATTAAAATTCAAATTCTTAATTGTGGTAGATCACCCTAGGGACACTCCAAATCACTAAATTGATTTATAATGCTCAAATTAGATAGAAACATTATGCTAAAAAGCATTGTTTCGAAGGATATCTTAATTATTAAGAACTTGAGACCTCACATGTGTAAGTTTGAATTTTAAAAAAAGTGGGAAGAGATTTGAAGAAAAAATAGTTATTCTTTTTATATAACTTATCCCCGTGTATATACATATATATATATATATAAAACATGAAGTCTTTAACTAGGACAAAAATACATCCATCCAATACTAACGAAGCACCTGGGACCCTCATGCTTCTACACGAACCTAAAATGAATACACAGAATGAAGAAACCTTTAAAAAAAAAACCCAGAGAACGACAATAATATGTATCTACAAAAAGCTTTAAAGTTAGGAATAAAATATAAGGAGGTCATGTGAAAGCCGATAATGAAGCAATAATAAACTAATGCAAGCAACCGAACGTGAGGAATGATTTGCATTACACACCACAAATCATACTCTTTAACTTTCCAAACGCATACGGTTGACCAGAGACAGAGTGTTGCAGATTTCTTTGAATTTTACATATAAAATAATTCTTCCTTTTACGGTGAACAGAATCTAAAGTGAATGCAAACAGGTCTTGCCGAACTCTCTGCCAATCCCCTTTTCATTCTTTTCTTTACTTGGTTCTAAAGCATTTAACCATATAAGCGCGATTTTGGGGTCTTTGGCTGGGGAAATTGGCTGAACCTAATCTTGATTTGCATGTGGGGGGTGTTTGCTTGGTTTTGCAGTGTTTTGGGTGATTGGGGTGGTTGAAGGTGGTGGGGGTCACTATGAGACAGCTTCTTGTGTTAAGGCTTGGGTTATTTGTGTTGGTCGTGAGGAACAGAGTGGAGGTGACAATTTGTTGTGGAAGATCTGGGGAATCTTGTTTTCTACCTAACTCTAACCCTAATCCATTTACAAAGTTGTAGGTCCAGCGTCAATGTATAATATGAAATAATGGTACAGTTATGACAACCAATTTCTTATCTATTAAACATTGATTTATAATCAAGGTTTGGGAGGTTCAAATTGCAATAAATTGCCAAGCAGAAAGCTTGATGTATAAAAAAAAATAGTTGCAATATAGAGCTAACGAGGCATTGGTCCAATAACTAAAAGCATGTTAAGGCTATGTGTAAGTTTTAGATTCAAATCTTTTTAACTCCAAATATTAAAGAAAAAAAATAATTGTTCAACCACATAAAAATGCAATTCATATTATTCATAATGTACATCCACTTTTAGCAACAATAATAGCATAAAAGTTTCTTAACATTAATTGAGATTGTGTTCAAATTAAAAAATCTTAGGATGAAATAATGAGCTCCCTAATTAATTGGGTATTAATACCATGGCTATGTTAGTGTCATGAGTAAGGTTTCAACCTTATCCTTAAAGACTAAATTAGGGTGGGTGTACCAGTGCTTGTGAGGGCTAGTGTAGTAGACAATGGCTCCCCTAGAACTGGGAACTATCTCAAAATGTTTCCCTTAGTTCTGGGAACTATCTCAAAATGTCTCCCTTAGTTATGGAAAGTTCATATTTACTCATCAAACTCAATTGGCCTTAAATTTTAGACTTATAAGATTTGGCCATTAAGTTTTCACTAATCTGAACACCTGCAAAACTGTTAGATAATTGCATCTATCTTATCTTTTGTGTGATTGGAATGAATATCTTTCTTTAGAAGATTTCCATGCGCAGTTTTGATATGACAGAATGGCTTGAAATATAGGCACAAGAAGGACAAGGATCTCCAATTATGGAAAATATCCTCTTTATCATATGGCATTGCGGCTATCTAGTGACAGATCATTAGGATTTGGTGAAATAGAATACTTATATGCTAAGTTTTTTTTTTTTTTTTTGGGTAATATACTTGTATGCTAAGCGATCTGTCAATTTGAGGTTGGGATTCATATTGGAGTTCTGACTTCTCAGTCTCATGACTTCCAGTATTCAAAAATGTCCCATCTTTAATAATAGAGAACCGACAAATCCTAGAACGTGCGAAGAAGGATTTTTCTTCTTTTTTTTTCTTTGGGACAGCTTGGTGTTTTTAAGCTAGGTTTTATTTATGTGTTTTGAAAGTTATTTCTTTTTAAGTAATTTGCTAGGTTTTTTTTTTTTATATATTTTGAAAGTTATTTCTTTTTAAGTAATTTTAAGGGTGTATCTATATCAAACTTTTATATTTAAGAAAAGAGTCCATCGTTTTCTGCAATTCATATTATATCATATTGTAAAACAAAAATTTTTAAATGAGAAAAAGACCTTAATATCAAAGAATCTGATTATTGTCTAAAAGTTCATATTTTATAATTTAGTATAATTTGAATTGTAAAATAATTTTTTGTTAAGAAAATTAATTTTTTTGGTTAGGTCCAAAACTTAAAAAGAATTTTACGGAGATAAAAACTATAGCCTGTTATTATTCTTATTTTTTGAATAAATTTACAAAAGATCGAATTCAAATCGTTATCTGAAGGAGGGAATGCATTTTAAATGTGATTTGATGCCACTGAACCGAAGACCCAAGTGCTATAGCTTGTTATTTGTTATATACAAAATAAACAAATAAATAAATAGATAGTATTCCCTAATGCATAATCAATACATGTAGGTGACCAATATTTAGAATTGGTTGGTTGATCAATTAATCCCAATTATTCAGCCTCGACAAACAAACTTCCCAATTGCTAGTCACATGCATGGACAAATCTTCTGTAAGGCTCTAGCATGCTCCAAGTGCTACATTCTATCATTACACCCTTAAAAGAATAATAAAAGTATTTAACGATACCTAAGGGTTATGCAATATGTACATATGATGAAGGGCAGTCCACCGACACGTGCGACTGATATATTTTGGATGCAATGTTGATATGGATGCAGAAAGCACACGTGTCTCGCAGGTGACATGCAGGCATGTGCTGGCTGTACCGAATCTATCCTCTTGCAGAAAGATTGGCAGAACAGTGCTTCCATGCCTCCCTCTCTGCTGCCTTCCATGTGCCCAATTGGATACTAATTAACTTATTGCTTCTGTTAAAATCAGAAAAAGATGCATCAAAGCTAATCCCACTCGCAGCTTTCTACTTCTGATTCAACTTCAAGTTTAGAAATTAAAGATAAAAAATTTATAGGCGTGTTTGGTTTGGAATTTGGTTAATAATTATTAGTGATTGATTTTAATAGAAAGAATTAAATATTTTTAATTTTAAATAATAATAATAAAATATTATTTTTTATATTAACTTCTTAATATTTCAAAATTATATTAGATTTTAATTAATTTAAAATCTGATTAATCTAAAATTAAGTAATGTTAAATTTCATAGAAAATTTTTTTTTATATTTATTTTTATATTTATAAAATTTGAACTTAAAATTTTATTTTAAAAAAATTAATTTTTTACTCAGATCAATAAATTATTAATTTTAAATATTAATCATATTTAAATATATATTATAATTTTTATAAAATAAAATAAAATAAAATAAAATTCAAACTTGACTGATTAAGCATATTACGAGTTGAAGTCACTTAAACTATCGTCGACAAATGTTAAAAGAATCGGATGCAACAGGATGCACTAAATGCGGGTGCCGTTAATGATCGAAACACAAAGAGTGAGACTAGAAGTGGGAGTTTTGTTTTTCACTCTTTGCACTGTGTAATGAGTAGTCAAAAAAGGAAACATATATAAGGTAAAAACTTTTATTTTGTTAGAGATAAGGACAAGACAGGCGGCAGAAATTGGGACCAATTGTAATTATTCTGAACCATCACTAATACAATAATTCTTTATTTTAAGACTTAT